AAGTGCTTACCCAGATCTCCCCATAACCTGGACTTTGAGGATCGTCCCCAAATCCTGTGAGGATTACCCCCACTGCAATCCTCTCAGTGAGCCCTCATTAGCGCCCCCTAGAGTTTTTCTTTGGTGGTTCAATGATTGTCCCTGAGGACCCAGCTTTTTGAAAACCATTGTCGGTTAATCAGCCTGCTGAGCATCATGATCTTTATCATCATAATCATCACCTTCGTCATCATCTTCTTCAGCCCCAATGTCACCAGCACTCCCACCAGCGTCCATTACAGGTCTTGAATCCTTTTATGCCAGGCTCTGTGATAAATGTTTATTTAATCCTCTCCACATTCCTACAAGGAAGGCAATATCATTAACTTCTTTTTTAAAAATGAGGGAACAGGGAAGTGAAATAACTTGCCAGTGGTCATATAATTAATAAACGATAGCTCTAGAATGCTCATCCGACATCTTCGCTCTCAACCAGTTCCCTGGATGTGCTCACAGGATGGCTCTGAATGGACCTTTTTTTTGTTTTTGTTTTTAAATCCTTCATAAGCATTTTTTCTTGAATTTCTTGGGTCTCTTAATGGCCTCTCTTGGGAGGCACTTGGGAGGCGTCATTAGAGAGAAGATTCTATTATTTATTGCCGAGCTGTCATCTTCAGTCATTACTGGGACTCAGAACATACTACACTCTTTCAGGAAAGAGTCATATAATGGGGCTCTCTGGAGGGATCGGATCTCCTGTCTTCCTTCAGATTATACTGTGTACTACCATCATCACCAGTGATAATTAGGGATCAAAGCCCCACACTGAGTTCAGCCTCCAGAGCCTCCATCTTGTGGGTTGTATTCAGTGAGGTAGAGTATGCCCTCAGTGTTTTTGAACCGACAGGAATGCAGCACTTTGGGAAGCTGAGTTTATGGTTAGCCCTTTAAGTGCACTACCCAGATGTACAAAAAGGTGAATATTTATCATTCAGAAACATTACTTAATAATATTTTTATCAAAATATAACTTACCAGTGGGAAAGTTCACAAATCACAAAGCTTAGTGAATTATCACATGTTGAATACACTCATGCAACCGGTCCCCAGATTGAGAAACAGAACATGATCAGTATTCCAGAGGCATCCCTTGTGCCCCTCCAGATCACTTCTCACTCCACTTTGCCACATGTGTAACTGCTGTTCTGACCTCTGGCATCATAGATTAGTCTGTTTTTGAACTTTATATAGATCTTGAGTGAAAGAAGACACACAGCTTTTGTATTATTTTGTGTGTCTTCTTTCACTTGATTATGTTTATGAGGTTCATTCCTGTAGTATGTAGTAGTAATTCCTTCATTTTCATGACTACGGTGCATTCAATTATACGAATATGCCATAACTTACATATCCGTCCTACTGATGATGGACATTGAGTGTTTCCATTTGGGTGCCAGTACAATATTACTATGAATCTTCTGACAGGTGTTGTGTGGTACTCATCTGTATGCATCCCTGTTGATTTAGGGTGGCATTACTGGATCATAGGGTATGTATGTGTTCAGCCTCAGTAAATACTGCCGAAGAGTTTTCCATTGAAAATTGCTTGTTTTCGGTTCACCAGTGTGTGAAAGTTCCAGTTAACGTTTGATATTGTTAATCCTTTTACGTTTAGTCAACCTGGTAGAAATGCAGTAATTTTTATCTCCCTGTTCACTAACAAGGTTGAGTGTCTTTTCATATGCTTTTTGGCCATTTGGGCACCTTCTTTTATGAAGTATTAGTTCATGTGTTTTGCCTATTTTTCTCTATCGGGTTGTCTATCTTTTTCTTATTGATCTGAAAGAGTTTTTATATGCTTTGGATTAAAGTCAATTGTGGTTAAATGCATTGCAAATATCTTCTTCCACACTCTGCCGTACTTGTTCCTAATGGTGTCTTTTCTTGAGCAAAATTTTTATATCATCCCACTTATGTATCTTCTCCTTTATTGTCAGTTTTTTTTTTTTAATGTCCTGTTTAAAAGTCTTTCTGACTCCAAGGTCATTCATATTTTATCCTCGGCCAACTTCTGAAAGCTTTGTTGTTTTGTTCTTCACATTTAGCTCTACCATCTGTGTGAAGTTTACTTTGTGTATGATGTGTAAGACCAAGATTCACCTGTTTCTACCTAGTTGACCAGTTGCCCCAGCAGCTCTGTTGAAGATAATTGTCTTTTCCCCCAACTGCTCTGCAGTACATCCTTAATCATACATCAAGTTTCCAGGTACTTATGGAACTTTTTCTGGATCCCAAACTATACAATTGGCCTTTTTTCCTTTCCTTGCTAGAATACACTGGCTGAACTTCTATAGCTGCATAAGTCTTGATACGTGGTAGTACAAGCCCACTAACTTTTCACTTCTAGAGATTGCCTTGGGTATTCTTGACCCTTTGCCTTTTCATATACATTTTAGAATCAACCTGTCATTTCACAAAAAAGCATGATGGCAATTTAATTTAGATTGCACTAAATCTATAAATCAATTTGAGAAGAACTGACATCTTTATAATACTGAGTTCACTAGTCCATGAACACAATTCAGTAAACTTAATTGCACATCAACTCTGTGCTAATCACTGTGCGGAGCCTAGATGTGGTTCTTGCTTTTGAAGGACTTGAACGAATAGGTAAACAAACACTTATCCACAAAATGCAATGTGATAATCTCATCACTGATAATAAGAGCTAATATTTATTAAGTGCCTATTATATTCCAGGCAGGATTTTAAGAACTTTACGTGTATTAATTCATTTATGCTTCACAGATACTTGGAGGTAAGTGCTTTATTATGCCCACCTATAGGGTTTTTTTTTTAATTGAAGTACAGTTGACGTACAATATTATATTAGTTTCAGGTGTACAACATAGTGATTCAACATTTCTATGCATTACAAAGCAATCACCGTGATAAATCTAGCTACTATCTCTTGCCACACAAAGTTTTTACAATATCATTCACTATATTCCCTATGCTGTATGTGGCATCTCCATGTCTTATTTATTGTATAACTGGAAGTTTATACCTTTCAATCTTCTTCCCCTATTTCACCCATCCCCCCATTCCCCTCCCGTCTGACAACCACTGGATTATTCTCTGTAACCATGAGTCTGTTTCTGTTTTCTTTTGTTAGTTCATTTGCCACCCCTACTCTAAGGCTGTCAGTCTGTCCCTCAGAGATCTCAGCTCTTTCTTCTGACATCATACTCATCATTTTCTGCTGGCCACTGTTGAGCACCATACTTTCCTGACTCTATTTTACTGTGCTGTTTCTCTCACCCTTTCTTCCTTGCTAGGAAGATCTAGCTGACCTTTTCTAGACATCAGTAGCCTATCAGAATGCTCTATTACTTTTGTGGGATGAACTGACCAATTAGAGCATGAGATTTGCAATCTTTGTGTCTCAAAGTCCTTCCCTGAGATGTCGTTATGACCACTGCTGCCTTATCTAAGACGGTTGTTTTAGTTTTTAGGGTTTGGGGGTCCTTTATGTTTAGGACTGAAACTAGAAGACTAGAATATCCTTCCCTGACAAGGGGTTGCTTATCAGAATCACATAAATGTTATATGTTAAATGAACTGATTTTTAAAATTTCAAAACTTAACCCTGGTGGAATACCCATACTATGCCAAATATACTCACTATGTACAATTCTGGGTGGAACGTTCAGCTGGGGAGGGAGTCTGGCCCTAAGTCTGCCTCTGGATGGTCTGACTACCTTGGGGTGTCTGTTGACCTCTCTGTGTCTTCTGTGAAAATAGAAGGCTGGAATAGAGGATTCTTGGGATAGGCTTGAGGCTCTAATAGTCTATAATTCCATGTTTAAAGGCCAGAATCTTAGCACTTTGATCCACACAGTAATCTAAATCTCAACTTATGTAAATATCAAGAAACCTGAATTGAGCATTTATTAGATGTCAGGTTCTGTGCTAGGTGCTAGGGATACAAAGAGAATTAAAATGAGTTCCTCTCCAGCATAACTCACAGTCCAGTGGAGAAGGCAGGTAAAAAGAGAATTGCAATGCAGTGCCAAAATTGCAATAAAGGATTTCCATCTCGGGAAATTGGGGATACAAAGGAAGGAATGACCATTATTGCTAAGAAGGCTCTTGAGCTAGATTTCCATGAAAACATAGTTATCTGGGTAGATGTGAGAAGGAAGAGTATAATGTAGATTCATAACTCCAGCTGCTGTAATATAAGTCTTTAAATGTCAGTCCTCACATGCAAAGTACAATATGGATGTTTCTGGTCAGTGGGTGATTCTCTATGTAGTTATTCAGAAACCCAGGTTCCTCCCATCTTGTGGCTCCACCACTTCTCCCAGGACACCAGAGTCTTCTGCTGGATCCCCTGCATTCTGCAGCCATAGGTGGGAAAGGAAGAGTGGAGGATCCTGTGGAAAGTTTGTGTGGGCCAGGCGGGAAGTGGTAAGCATCATGTCTGTCTGTGCTTTCCCTTGGCAGAAAGAGGGTGCAAACAGACCTAACTTCAAGGGAGGCTGGGAATGTGGTCTAGCTGAGAGCCCACAAGAAAAAGGAAGTATGGTTTGGAAAACACACAGCAGTCTCTCCCCGCCAAAGGACTTCCTAAGGGAGTTTCTGCTGTGAGAGGCTAGATTTCTCTTGGACCAGTCTAATGGAAGTGTAACATTAGATAGCTGTCAAGACAGGGGTTGCTGACCAGGGACTATCTTTATCAAATTGTGGATACTAGGACAGAGCTCACCGAACCTTTGCTGGTTCAGGGAGGCCCAACTGAGATCCTAGCTGAGGCATTTCGCAAGCTCTGAAATGTAAGGGGGAGCAGAGTGGAGGGCAACAGTTCACAACTCTCAAAGGGATGGGGCTTTTCCACCGTCCGCAGTCCCTCCGACCCACAGGCCTGGCGTATTGATGGAGAACTCGCAAACATCCGTTTGTCAGATGGAAGCCAGCTAATTCCTGTGCTCTTAATTTGTTTTCCTCTCTCTCCACAGTAACGCTTTCAGCTGCCCCTCCCTCCTACTTCAGAGGATTCACCTTAATTGCCCTCAAAGAGAACAGAGAGGGTGATAAGGAAGAAGACCACGCTGGGACCTTCCAGGTAAGACCCCTCTGGGATCTTCCGTGGCCCTCGTGCCCTCATGGGTGGAAACCAGGTGGAAGGTGGACATACTGAGGAGCTTGAGTGACAGAAGAGACCCAAGTGCCTGAGGTGGCTTCTCGGGTACTTCCCTTGACCATAGGCAGGGTGGGTCAGGTCCATTAGAAAGACGCAAAATGGAGTAGGCAGCAAATGCCTGAAGGCCTTCAGGTCCAGCCAGCAGGCAGGGCTATTCTCTGGGCTCACAGTGCCTGCAGACAGCAGACAGCCCAGCACCGTGGGAGCACTCGGAGCCCTGGCGGGCCCGGCTGTTTTTCCTGAGAGCCGTTTCATGACTGACTGGCCGTTCTCAAGTGTAAATGGAACGAGAGCTTAGAATGGCCAGACTGGAAGGAATACGAAGCATAGGAGAAGGACTATTAAGGGAATGAAGAGATTGATTTATGAGAGGAGATTAAAAGAATTAAACATGCTTTGCTTGGCTAAATGAACAGGGCTGAGTGTGAGAGGTGGTAATGGTCTTTAAATGTCAGTCCTCACAGAACAACCTCCTCCAGGGGAGGCTGCGTTTGACTTTGTACAAAAGGGCACAGCAAGACGAAAGTGGGTCAAGAGAAGAAAGAGAATCACAAAGGCAAGGGCCCTGACAGTGAGTCATATTTCACCGTGGAATATCCTTCCAAGGGAAATGGCGGGAACATCATCCTCTTTCAGAGGTTTAGAAAAAAGGCCGTCCAGTCGTCAGAACATGTCCCAGAAGGACTGGGGCCATCCTAGGAGGAGGCCTGGCCAAATTGGCTGTAACCATTTCTCATCTTAAATTTCCATTGTTCTAGAATCCGTTTTTTATCTGCCATTTGCAAACTGAGAAGAAAAAAAAAAACAACCTCAAAAGTACTTACACCCATAGTTAACTGCCTGGGACTCTGGTGCAATTGTGGGTGCCACCGAGGACCCTGCCCCAAAATATCTTCCCCGTCCAAAGACCTCTTTTAATCTTTTGTAGCCAGGTTGTAATTTTGAATCCCATGTTTTAAAAAATGTCCATTGTTTAGGCTTCTGGGCCTCTAGCCTAGTGTTAATTCCATGCTCATTGTAATGTCCTTCAGTGTACTTAGGTAGCAGGAACTTTCTTGGCATATATCTGAAGACGTTACCCAATTATAATATAATTATAATACTAACGATGCCCAATATTTGTTGGGTTCTGACCATATGCCAGGCATTAGGTTAAGTTCTTTAGCTTATTTTGGTTTATCTTATCTTAATCTAATTAGTATAACTCATCTCACTTTGATTCTTCAAACAACCAAGTAGATAGGAACTAGTATTCCTATTTTATGGATCAGGAAATTGAAACTAGCAAGATTAAATCATTGGCTTTAACAGCTAGTAAATAGTAAGGCCAGGTTCCTCCACCAGGTGTCTGATTCCAGAGACTAAATTGTTCAATCTCTGAATAGTACTGAATAAGCTCCTGGCACGACTGTGTTTGGACAGTGTGTTGGTAAGGTTGTCATCATAACAAAAGGGAGATTCATGCATGAATTCAGCCCACAAAGCACTGAGATATATTCCCCTGGTCCCTGTTGTGCTAATTTACCTGGAGGTGTAGATGATTTTTCAGATTCAGGCAGCTGAGAGATCTGGGTGCCTGAGTGTCTGGAGGGGTAAAGTTCTATGAAGAGAAGAGGTAGAGGGTTGGATGGGGGATGTGTGACCTTAATTTTCACCCAAACAAAATTTATCTGCTCTAAAATGTTGCTTAGAGATATATGCTCAAAAGAGTTGAAATCAGGGTTCAAACAGGTATCTGTACCCCCATGTTCATAGTAGCACTATTCACAGTAGCCAAAAGGTGTAAACAACCCAAGCATCCATTGATGCAGGAATGGATAAACAAACATGGTGTATACATACAGTGCAATATGAATTCTTAAAAAGGAAGGGAATTCTGACACATGCTACAGCATAGATGAACTTTGAAGACACTGTGTGAAGTGAAACAAGCCAGTCACAAGAGGACACATGCTGTATGATTCCACTTACGTGAGGGACCGAGAGTAGTCAAATGCAGAGAAACACAAAGTTCAATGGTAGCTGCCAGGGGATGCATGGGAGGAGGGAATAGGGAATCGTTGATGAACAGGTATAGAGTTTCAGTTTGGAAGATGAAAAAACATTCTGGAGGGGGACAGGAGTGATGACTGCATGAAAATGTGAATGTACTTGATGTCACTGAACTGTGCACTTAAAACATTAGAATGGTCAATTTTATATATATTCTACCACACACACACACACACACACACACAAACGATGCCTGAGTTAGGCTTAATGGGGACATGATGTGGAGTTAGGCATGAGGAGTTATGTGGCTTCTTTCTTTAAAGGCTATTCTGTTTTAATTTGATACATTGATAGTCCTCTCCACCTCACTGTCGTTTCTACTCCCCTAAATCTTGGTCCTTTCAATTGATGGGTGAATACAGGGCCCAGCTCACAGTGGGGAGTGAGCAGATGTTTATTGAATGAATAAATAAACACATTATTCTTTCCACTAGTGTCCATTGCTCAGTCATATTTGGAATTTTCCAGAACTCTTATCTCTTTACACATCTTTCCTTCTTCCTTTTTTTGGAGCTTTGGACATCCTTTCATGTTACATCACGATGGTTCTCCAAGTGTGGTCCCTGGACTAGCAGCCTCAGCACCATCTGGGCACTTGTTAGAAATAAAAAATCTCAAAACCCACCCAGACCGACTGAATGAGAAACTCTGAGGGTGGGGGTCTCCACGACCTGTGCTTTAACAAGCCTCAGGGTGAACCCAGTGTCTGCTGGAGTTTGAGAACCAGTGTTGAAATGAGACCTGGATCCAGCCCATCTGACAAGAACAACATATGTGTCTGCTCCCTCATAGTCTCGCTGCTTCCCCCAGCCCTGGAGGAATCAAAGTGGGAAACAGATACGAAAAACACCGAGCAGACAGTAATAATGCTTCTGTGCCAGATAGTGTTCTAAGTGGTTTCTATGTTTTTTTTAAAGATTTTTATTTATTTGACAGAGAGAGACACAGTGGTCATTTATTAACTGATTTAACCCTCAGAGCAATGCAATGAGATAGGCATCGTTGTCCTGTTTTTCACAGATGAGGGAATTGCGACCCAGAGCAATTAAGCAACTTTCTTAAGACCACTCAGCTCTGAGTGATAAAGCTGAGATTCAGACTCAGCCAGTCGGCTCCAGATCCCTGCTCCCAACCACGATCTACACTGTCTCTCAGTGTGTCCGTGTGAAGTGAAAACGTGAGGGTCTACTATGACTTTTTTATGGCGGAAGTCTCTGTGCCAAGGGCTTTATATGCATTATCCTCCTTAGTTCTCACAGCAACCCTGTGAGGTCAGTGTTGTTACCCCCATTTTCCAGAGGATGGAACAGAGTCTCCAAGGTGCTAAGTAAATTGACCAAAGTATCCAACATCTACATGGGGGAAAGGGGCCAAACCGTGTGCCAGTGATGTCCTCATACTTCCTGTCCCCCCCACCCCCTGCCTCGCCCTTGTGCGTTAAATGCACACTCCACTTTGGTTCCCCTTGTCTCAAGAGGTCAGAGAGGGAGAATCACAGCCCATCCGTCTTCCCTCTCCTGCTTTAGACACCAGGGTCTCTGTACGTGCCCCTCCCACTCTAGCCTACATGTCTTTTCTCTGTCTACCAAAGCTGTCATCTTCGTTTATTCCTGAGCATTTATGGAGCGTCTCCTGCATGCCAGGCCCTGAGGTAGGCCCTGGGGGTAACGGCGGTGAGAAAAGCAGACACAGTCCTGCCCCCCTGCAGCTGACGGTGTCCTCCCTGGAACCGTACCTTACCTTTACCTCCGCCGCCAGCTGGCAGCGAGTCGGCGGCGGGAACACGAGCGGGTGACCAGAAACTACAAACGCCGTGATGATTTTAAAAACATACCCGGAGTGGTTAACAAATCTTTAGATCTACTTCTTCGTTAACATCCTCACTCCAAAGACAACAATTTTGAGGACTTCACAACAGCAACGAAATTGTCCTATTCTTTAAATCTGGTCAAAGATTACATTCTTAGTTCTAAAAAGTGGCTCTGAGAGTGGGTGATTTTGCTTCTACATGAGTGAGCCCTTACACAGGGCGCACAGACCCACCGGGTACAAACAAATGTCAATCTTAATGCCCCTTTAGACTCGGCGGGGTGGGAATGGGGTGGCTGGGTACAGGGTCGCCCTCTCACCAGGTGGCAGAAGGCCCAGGGAGAAGGGGGTGGGCTGCTCCTCTGCTTCCCACAGCGGGTCCAGCATGGCAGCCTGCGCCAGCTAGGGTATCTGTCTCTGGCTGCCAGAAGGGAGAGACATGGGACCCTCTCTTTGATGAGTGAGCTGGGTGTACTTATGGTTAATTGAAAGTGACAAGGAATGCAGGGTATGGACTGTCTGCACAAAAGCAACCCACTAATCCTTAAAATTGTATTGCTAAAACCCATTTGCTCCCTGGAATGCTCACGGCCCAGCCAACTGTCCAGCTCATTCTCCCACTTCCTTCAGGTCTCTGCTCAGATGTCCCTTTCTCAGGGAGGCCATCTGGATCACCCTATTTGAAACTTCCTCCCCGCTCCTCCTTCATTTCCTGGGCTGGACTTCCTAGCCTTCTTCCCCACTTAATTTTTGTCCTGTTGCCTTTTTGGCACATGATGTGCCATTTTACTTGTCAACTTGAGTGTTCTCTGCCCCCTTCCATTAAATTATAAGCTCCATGAGACAGGGATTTTTATTTGTCTTGTTTGCTGCCGTATCCCAACTGTGCCCCACATGGAGTAGGCACTCAAATATTTATTGACAAAATATTAAGCTGCTCATTTATAATACCATCCTTTATTTTTTTTAAGGCCCGTATATGCATCAACCAGCTTAGGTAATAGTCTGCCAATCAAAGGAAAAAAGCCTCATTTATAAAGGGTTGTTTGCCTGAGAAGATC